GAAAAGAGTTCGTTTCATTGATTATTGAACATCAACAAGTGGATGCTGATTTTTCGATCAAAATCATCCTAAGCGATTAGAGTCATTTTCACCTGGATGGCTATGTTAATCGTCAAAATTGCCACATTTGGGCTTCTGAGAACCCACATAAGACTGTCGCAAAAAATGCATCCACAACTTGTCACTGTTTGGTACGGATTTTGAGCTGAAGGCATCATTGGACTGGTTCTTTGAAAATGTGGCTGGTCAAGCAGTAACTGTTACTGGTGATCGATATCGCAACATGATAACAGAGTTCTTTCCGCCTAAATTGGATCATATTAATGTGGACGACATGCTTCAACAAGTGTCACCAGCCATGCAGTCCGTGAAACAATTCAATTACTACAGGTATTTCCTGCTCATGTACTCTCTTGTTTCGGTGATTAGAATTGGTCCCCTAGATCGTGAACTTAACACTATTGGATTTCTTTTTATGGGGTTATTTGAAGTCAAAGATCTATACCAAAAAGCCCTTGGAAATATCTTAACTTTTTATAACTGGGTAATTTGTCTACTTTTATTCAATTCTAAACATCTATTACGACTCTAACTATTTTTGACAATCTGATTTCTACCATATTACCAAAAATTTAAAATGAACAATTATTTGAATCTCCAAAGATTTTCCACGAAAAAATCTCCGAAATTTTCCAAAATTTCTTAAATAGACTCAACAATTTTCACAGACCTATTAACAAAATAGATAACTATTTAATATATAGTATATACAAAAAAGACAACTTAAAGGTAAAATATACAAGAAAACGAGTAGCGACATTCTTAAAAACATACTCCTAAAATGCGTTCTATTACGACTAGATGTAGTACATTATTTCATCTAGGTACCCTAAAATGGTACCTTGATACTACTCCCGATCTTTGAAAGATTATGGGAGGTTATCTTGATCGATAATTAGTTTTATTTCAAGAAATCCAAAAGTGACCTGATCGTTGCAACGTACGTGACCATTTTAATTCTGTATTATAGTTCTTTTGAGGAAAAGTTAGACAGTTGATCATTGAGAATGTCACTATTATTGTTTAGTTTATATCTAGAGGTCGATATTGCTATTTAAGGCTTTTAAATTCGCCAGATGAGCTAATATGATACGTCAGGTGTTCAGATATTATGTACACAAGTGTTTCTTGAAAGTACATAAACATTTTGCACAATATGAGATAAATTCAGTAAACTAGTCACCATTGTCACAGACAAACACCAACAAATAACCACACGATCTCTAACCAAAAACAAAATACTAACAAAAGATAGAAAGGAATAAATGATTGCAATATCCCGCATTTAAAAACGACATATTGCATACAATGAACATTCGAGGTGTTTCTCAGAAGTATTCGATCTTCGTTCGACAAATCTGCATTTAAAATTGAAAAAAGTTGTGCTGAATTTATTCAAATGATGAAAAGTCGTTTGGAATTAAATGTTTGAGCAAAACACGGATACCTGTGTTCGGGTTGACCTTTCACAACAAAACCGACAAATCTCAAAAGTACGAGAATTGTTTCTCAAACGTCAAAGTGATCCGGGAATTCCGAACTTGTGTGTTAAAAATTTTAATCTGGAATTTGGAAATCACTGGTGCGTTAGTCAAATTCCCTCTAAAATTGCTCACTGCAGAGCAGAAAAAGATTGGCTTAGAAGTCCGCTTGGGCAACGTGGAACTGGTCGCTAATGATGAAAATATGCTTTAAAATGTCAATACTGCTGATGAGTTGTGAGTTTACGATCCCAAAACAAAACAGTTTTCACAATGGAAGCTTCCATTCGGACATCTATGTTGATTGTTTTTTCATGAAGGTGTTTTTCTCACAGAGATCTGACAACCCACAAAAAATTTCACATTCAAGTTCTAAAAATATTGCGTGAAGCAGTAAGAAGAAAATGCATTTTGAGCGATCGGCTATTGGAGTCTTTACTACGATAATGCGCCAGCACATTTATCGTACTTCGTGTAATCTTTTTTAGTAAAATACACGGGAATACAATTCCTCCACTTTCCGTAAAGCCCCGATATATTCGGGTTATTTTGGGATATAACTTGTACATAGTCGTAATATTATGACAGGAGTATTAGAAATTGATATGAATTATAATTCAAAACATTTACAGATGCTCAAAAAGAGACAAATATGTTCCATAGTTATGTTAAGTTCGGAAAAAATTTGAAAATGTTATGAATCAAACATTGGTGAATAAAAATTTTTTTATCAAAACAGCAAACCTTACCAGAATATGTTTCGGTTCACAAATAGAACATTCTGCTTGGACTTCTCTCTTAATACTATATTCACAGGTCTAATATTCTTTAGATAGCATACCATTAGGCCTTGTTTACAAGACAATGATAGAAAAATTAGTAAATTAGTAAAAACAGACATAACTCTTAATGATCAACTTAAAAATAACTATTTCCTCCTAACTTTTATTGACGGTATCTAATTTCTTATGAAAAATATTAATATAATACTTCTGGTTACAATTTCCATACATTTTTCAATAAATACCTAAAACTCCACACGTTTTCCGTCACTTCTGAATTCCTCGTCACATACATGTTAATAAAGCGTTACAATTTCAAGCATTGGTGGAATGCAGACGATGAATATATTTCTTTCCATACCTAAAACACATACTTACTCTTTCTGGAGGGGAGAAAAACGTAAGCAACATGTCAGGGGTGGACATAAGTCAGCTCGCATCCTCAAAAACGACGCATGCGCGAATTATACTGCTCTTTCCCGCAGTCAACATGCGTTAAGGTCGATTCAGACACATCAGTCACGTCTCGTCACAGTGATTGCGCCGAACCGAACAATCCGTCATACAAAATATTCTTTAATACACATATGTTGCCGGCATTCACACTCATCAGTTGACAAACAGTTTCCCAGCTGTCAGATAGTTGATAGTTCTGTGACCAAACAGGACCGGTTCGGCGCCGAGACTATGACGGGACTGATGTGTCTGAATTGACCTTTACCTAGCAACACGGCCGGCTGGGTATGTAAATATTGTTATTGAGCTCGATACGAACAATTAGTAGTTTAACCAAAAACGTGTGTTCTTATTAGTTTTGCTCTCAGGATAGCGATTATGAAGCTATTGAAGAAGATTTTACAGAAAGCTAGTCTAATGTACGTTTTCCGAACCCCAATTACATGGTGGATTCAGCCAAAAAGTTTAAACAGATCGGTAGTATTGAAGATGCATAGAATAGTGATAGACTACGTTCAGTGAGCACAGATAGGAATACCATAACAGTCGCTCAACAATTCGTTGAAAACCCGCTCCTCTCCGCCAAAAGACCACCATTAAAGATTCGCATACCATCTCGCACGCTTCGTAGGATTAAAAGACATATCGATTTGCAATATTACCGTCGGTATATGCTGCAGGCGCGAAACCGGAAGACGTCCAGCTTTTTCTTCTTCTTCAGTGCCTTATCCAGTCCGGATGTTGGCGATCATCAAGGCCTATCATGGTATTGTTGACTGTTCTGCGAAACAGCTCCGCGGAGGTCATCCCAAGCCATTGCCGGAGGTTTTTCCATCACGAGATACGACGGCGTCCCGATCCTCTTCTGCCAAATACTTTACCCTGCATAACGAGTTGGAGAATACGATATTTTTCTTCGTTTCGCATCACGTGGCCGAGGTACTCAAGATTACGTTGTTTCACTAAATTAAGCACTTTTCTTTTTCTTTTGTCATGCGCTGTATGACCTCAACGTTGGTGAGATGGTCCACATACGATATTTTTAGTATCGTTCTCTAGATCCACATTTCGAAGGCTTCCAGCGCGCATTGATTTCTGAGAGTGGTACCTAATCATGAGAGTGGCCGATTCTTTTTTCGAGAGACAAATCTTTTATTGGTTCGATGCTCATCCTCACGAAATCATGAAAAAGGAAGTGAATTCTCATGAAGTTATTGTTTAGGAAGGAATTAATCGAGGGATTCTTGGTCCTTTTTTTTCTACGGATCCGTTAATTCAGAAAGGCACCTGGTACTTACAAGAATTACGTGTAACTTTGGATGAAGATGACAGATTCGAAGGACGAAACATGAATTAGCAGCAGGTCGACGCTCCTGATCATTTTGGTCTGGAAATTCGAGCTATCCTAAATCAGCATTTTCTTGAATGGTAACCAAAATGAACCGCGGTCCCAAGGTTGCCAGACATTATTGATTTTTTATTCGGAGGCATGCTAAAGAACAGAATTTTTGCGCATTCGATCGAAAACGTCGAAGATCTCAAACATTGGATAACAATCGAGCATTATTAATTCGATCGAAAACCGTTTTGGAGTGTATTGAGATGGATGGTGAACATTTTGAACACTTGAATGTGTTTGCAAATTTGCCAGCTAACTTATGCCCACCTCTGTATATGAGAAATCAGAATTCTGGCTTAAAAAACGCTGTACAAATAAAAATATCTTCACTACTGTTTACAAGGCACGGCACATTTTCGAAGCTAGAAATTCTACATCCATTAAAACACTAATTTAAATTAGAATACTGTAGCACATCCCTTTATTTAAGTATGTTTGAAGATAAAGCAATACCTATTTCGAAATCTTTGGTATATCGAATATAACACTTTTTTTGAAAATACAACAACAAACGACAAGAAACACTGAGTATAAAATACTGCTTTCCAATAGAAGAAAAAACAATTACATAATTGATTCAACACGAATCCTTATATTTATAACGTATTTATTTGAAACATCTTCATACGATCTCCGACTTTTACACAATAGTAAAAGATTTTAAAGAACTATATCATGGAGAGAGAAAAAATAAACGAGAATAAGTTAAAACAGAAAAGATAATTGGGAAGACCAACATGGTCACATGGACACAAATTGGTCAGTAAGAGTTCTAAACTTCTATTTTTTAGCTATAAGTCATCTTATATAAAATAAAGTTAATAAATAAAAATGTATTTTTATTCTGCGAGTATTCTAGAAAATAAATTAAACTACAAAAATCTGCAGCGTCTTGTAACATATATAAACTACTATATTTTTTCTTCGTTGGCTGTCGTTGTCTAGCTGAGTTGATCGGTGGCAAATCCGTAAACTTCCAATACTCTGATTTCGAAATCACCACCTGGCACTAAGGGGGGATTGTTAAATGTTGCACAAGTATCCGTTTTGCCGTATCTTATATTTTCGTCCATCCAGATCGCTTGGCCTTCTCTGAAACATTGAAGGAGTTTATACTATTATTATGCTGAAGAAGTATTATTATTACGCAGTAAAATTCTGCTCGCGTTTTTAGAAAAAGGCGATGTCAGTTTTTAAAACAAATACAGATCTACCCCAGGTGAGTAGGATGCGTCCAGAATCTCACACTGATTTATCAGTCTGTCCCAAGGATTCTGGGGGGGACAAAAAACTGACTATACGGAAACCCAAAAAACCCATCAACTCTCTACGTTAGTACATACAATGCCAGAAGACTACTGTCCGAGGAAAGATTCACTGAAATGGAAACTGAAATGAATAAAATAAAATGGGATGTCATAGGTATTAGCGAAGTTAGAATGAGAGGTGAAACTTTGAAAACACTCAAATCAGGGCATATATTCTATCAGATTGGTCCTGAAACTACATCAGTTGGAGGCATCGGTTTCTTTGTCCATAAAAATCACGCGAACAAGATAATAAACATCAAAAGTATATCATCTAGAGTGGCATATCTTATTCTGAAGCTGAACAGTAGGTATCAACTCAAAATTATCCAAGTATACGCTCCAACAACAGACCATACAGACGAAGAAATTGAAATGTTTTATGACGATGTATCCACTGCGCTTGATGATTCTCGTACTCAATTCACAATTTTATGTGGCGATTTCAACGCAAAAATAGGGGTAAAAGAAGCAGATCTAGAAACATCTTTAGGACAATTCGGTTCCCCAGGAAGAAATGATCGAGGAGAAAAGCTACTAGGATTCCTACTCCAGAATAACTTATTCAACATGAACAGCTTCTTTCACAAAAAGATGCACAGAAGATGGACTTGGGAAAGTCCAAACGGTAGAACAAGGAACGAAATCGACTACATCATAAGTGATCAAAAACAAATAATTAAAGATGTAACAGTACTCAACAAGTTCACCACAAACAGCGACCACAGGATGATACGAGCGAAAGTTCAAATCAATATAAAAAGAGAAAGGAATATAATGATTAAAAATAAATTTCATGGTATCTGGACACCCCCATTAGATATCAACCAATATCAGACACATATCAATAATAAGCTTCTATTGCAGGAAACCTCCGCTAACGATATTAACGACTTGAATAACTGCATCATAAACGCCTTACAAGAAAGTCACCGAGTGCACTGTCCTAAAAGAAAATCAGATAGTAAAATAAGTCCATATACTGAAACGCTCTTGGATCAAAGAAGACAAATGAGAAGCGATAAGAATGTAGATAGCAACACTTTAAGAAAAATGAACAAAACTGTTTCGAAAGCAATTAGGAGAGATTTAAGGAAATTTAATACCGATTATATTAAACGCACTATAGAGGAAAATAACAGCCTAAAAGTTCTACGTAGAAAGCTAACGAATGGGAAATGCGAAATTCATAAATTAAGAAACAAGCAAAATGAAATAATATCACGTAGAGACGAGTTAATACAGGTCGTCGAAGAGTTTTACGAGGACTTATATAGAAGTAGACGAGAAGATAAAACAGGAATACAAACAGCCATTTCAAAGAAGATCAAGAATCAAGGTTCCGAACTAATGCCAGAGATAAAGCTAGATGAGATTCGACAAGCATTAAGAAAAATGAAAAATAACAAAGCCCCAGGAGAGGATGGAATCGTAATAGAAGCTATCGTAAATGGAGGAGATATGCTATTAAATAAATTAAGGAAACTATTCAATCTATGTTTGCAGCAAAGAGAGGTGCCCAAAGAGTGGAACAATGCTACAACCATCCTTTTGCATAAAAAAGGAGATAGAACGGACCTAGAAAATTATAGACCTATTAGCCTGTTGAACCACATATACAAGCTCTTCACTAGGGTAGTGACATCAAGATTGGAGAAAAAATTAGATTTCTACCAACCGAGAGAGCAGGCAGGATTCCGCTCAAATTATGGTACCAATGATCACCTCCACACAGTAAAGACACTCATTGAAAAATCTATAGAATATAACAAACCTCTTGTTCTCACTTTCATAGATTTTCATAAAGCGTTCGACACGATCGAATTAGACAGCCTTATAGAAGCCATGAATGACAGCAGGATTGACCATAGGTATAGTGAGCTTATTTATAATATTTACAAAAATGCCACTGTGACTGTTAAAATAGACAATAAAACCCGACCAATACAAATAAATCGTGGAATAAGGCAAGGAGATACATTGTCGCCGAAATTATTCATAACGGCATTAGAATATGCCTTTAAGATGATCAATTGGGACCACAGAGGAGTAACGATAGACGGCGAAAAGCTTAACCATCTCCGTTTCGCAGATGACATTGTCCTTATCACAGATAATTTAGGAGAAGCTACAGATATGATAAACGAATTGGATTTTGCATGTTCGAAGGTGGGCCTGAGAATGAACTTGACCAAAACTAAGTTTATGACAAATTTGGTCCCCAATAACCATTTGACTATTCAAGACAAAGTGGTAGAACTGGTGGAGAAATATACGTATTTGGGTCATGAAATAAGAATCAGCAGGGATAACCAAACATGTGAGATCCAAAGACGAATTACTTTAACATGGGCAGCCTTTGGAAAACTGCGAGACACACTTAGGGCCAACATACCAATCAGCCTCAAAAGAAAAGTGTTTGACCAATGCGTATTACCGGTCATGACCTATGGGGCGGAAACTATGACTTTAACCAAGACCACGGCTTCGAAACTGAGAGTGGCACAGAGACGAATGGAACGGTCTATGCTGGGAGTGACGTTGAGGGACCGAATAAGAAACGAAGATCTGCGAAGAAGGACGAGTATTACTGATGTTGTGGAACGCATAGCGGAACTAAAATGGAACTGGCAGGCCATGTAGCGAGAATGCACGATTCACGATGGACGAGCAAAATTACAAATTGGAGGCCAAGAGCAGACAAACGCAGTAGAGGAAGACCACCTACACGTTGGGCCGACGACATCAGGCGTATCACTAAAAATTGGCAACAAAGAGCACAAAATCGTGAGGAATGGAGGAGTTTAAGGGAGGCCTATGTCCAGCAGTGGACGTGATAAATAGAGGCTGGATGATGATGATGATGATGAAAGTTCTGCTAACTATAATTAGCGAGAGAATAAAATCAATACTTATACGACAGATCCCACAAGAACAATTTGAATTTGTCCCTGGAAGAGGTACACGAGAACAAATTCTCAATCTCAAACAAATTATAGAAAAATCTAGAGAATTTAATCCAGAAACATATTTGTGTTTCGTCGACTACTCGAAAGCGTTCGATAATAAAGTAAAGCGGCATAAAAAGTGGGGAATACTGAGAGAAATGTGTACCCTCGAACATCTAATATATCTACTGAAACAACTGTATATCAACAACACAGCAAACATAAGAGTCAACGACATAGACCCCGATAATTTTAAATTAAAAGCCGGTGTTCGTCTACGATAAATTTCAAGGAAATATTATCTCTCCCACGTTATTCAATGTATATTATATATATATATATATATATATATATATATATATATATATATATATTATATATATATATATATATATATATATATAGCGAACACATCATGCGCATTGTATTCGACGGATGGCAAGGAGGAATATCAGTCGGAGGCCGAAAAATGAGCAATCTCCGCTTTGCTGACTTTAGTACACTTTAGTACTAGCATCATCAACAAATGACCTTAAATACATCATGAACAAACTATTTATAGATACTATAAGTCGTGAATATGGACTTAACATTAATGTACAGAAGACCAAGGTAATGATAATCGATCGAATTAGAAATAACCAGCCGGAAATACGAAACGTAGCGGGGTTTGAAGTGGTAATCCGTTTCAATTACTTAGTTTCTGTTATCACAAACAATGGTGGATGCGATGAAGCGATACGTCGACGCCTTACAATGGCCAGATCAGCAATGGTCAAACTTACTAAAATCTGGAAAGATACCGACATAATCAGGAACACCAAACTGCGCCTAGTACGGACGCTTATCTTTCCTATGGCTACCTATGCGTCAAAAACTTGGACCATTAAAAAGTCCGACTCACGACGTATAATGACCATTAAATTGTGGGTATATCGTAGAATGATGCGCATACCCTGGACAGCACATCTCACAAATGTCTCAATATTAACACAACTCGACATCAATACTAGGCTTACCACAATCATCAACCAAAATATATTGAGGTATGGCATGGAGAGGTTGGTGATTGAAGGCAAGGTAGATGGTAAAAGAACTCGAGGAAGATCGCCACTCCGAGGGCCAGACCAAATAAATTGCTCTAGCGGTTACTCTCTGTCTGAGGCAGCACACCGCGCCCAGGAGAGCGAAGAATGGATAGCAACCATACGTCACATACCGTAACATCACCGTAGCGCCCTCTATGAGAATCAGATATAAAAACAAATTCATGGGATGTATCAGCTTCCAAAACATATTCGTATAAAATTTCATTACAATGTTGCCAGTAGTTTCGGCAAAATCGTAAAAAATGCGTATTTTTTTTTCTTCAACGCCTTGTATCTTGAAAACGAATGGCGTTACAAAAATTTTTTACTAAACAAACCCCAATTATTTTTCAGTTTTTTACCTACCCTAGAGACGGGGTTACCTTTTTTTTGAAACACCTTGTATAAAAAAAATATAAAAATAAACAAAAGTTTATTTTAGAAATTTTCTAGTCTTTTATAGATAATAATTTACAAATCGAATCATTACCTAGTGATCTTAACATTGAGGGCTAGAATTTAAAATACTAGTAAAGAAAATAAAATGGACACAAAAAAATGGAATGTGCTGTCAAAGTAGGAAACTAAAATTTACTCTAGCAACCTGGTTTCTGCACTAAACTCAATATTGTTATAGACGTATGAACCACTTAGAGTCATGCCTTTTGACGAGTTTCTGCACTAAAATATGTATTTATACTTGAAGAATCAGAATCTGCATTAAACTCATATTTTATAAAAATTTCAATTGGCAAGTTCCTGAAATAAACGATTCTTAACCCTGCCGTTTTCGACATTTCTCAATAATTGACCCATATTTCACTAATGTGGTAAGCTGTTGATGATTTGATTGGGCAATTGTTACTTTAACGAAAATAGAAGTCATGAATCTCAACTACTTTGTTTCTATCTTCCCTAGTTTTCGGTATACTCTGCAAAACATACCAATTTGGGACACCCCGTACACCGTTTTCAAGAATACTACATTTTTGAAACATATTTACTGGTGTGGATCGATTACTTACCCTCCTCCAATAGTAATCATCTTGGAATCAGCCGCCATAAAAAGTTCTGCGCCGTGCTGAACCTTATCTACCTCCATACCAACCCAAGGATATTTCGCTCGTTCTGGATATAACGAAAACAGAAAGGTTTCTCCCGTGCCGAAATACGCCTGTCTGTTACCCCTATCGTCTTTTATATTTCTCTCGACCCAACGTGATGAACAGTACGCACCGAATACCTGAAAAAGTCAAATTAATAAAATAAAAAAAAGCTAAAAATGTTAGATTTCAAAAATATGTTTTAATTTACACGTATCTATAACAGGTTTTTAAAATTTCACAGTTCCTACATTATTAGACCGGAATATAGTGGACATAGAGGCACAGTGGAAGTATCTTTTAAATGAAATGCAGTAGGTACTACTATGGCCACCTAGAAGAGAACGGCAAAAATAAGTACAAATGTTGGAGTTTACAATAGGACCTAGTAGGTAAAGCAGATTTCCGATAAAAAGCATAACCTCAAATTTGTGAGTGTCGGTCTCTAAAGTTTATCGAATTTCTGACGGATAAACTTAAAATAGGTTTATTTCTTAATATGGTTGATTGTTGCATCTATTAATATTCTACTGTCCATAAAAATTTAAAGAATGACCTTTTTTTATATACCAACAGTTAAAACATAGTTGTACTTTGGGGCACAGTGATCATTCCAACAGGGGCAGAGTGGTCACAACTTACTCATAGTGCGAGGAGTGTGATCACTGTATCCCCATAAAAAAATTCCACTGTTTTATATAAACTGTTTTAGGAAAATATGGTAAAAAACAGAAAGAGGAAAACGGAAATTGGTTTTACCAGCGAAGAAACTATGCTTGCAGCATTGCGAATTGTTTTTGATGGCGGATGGTCAATAATTAAACGTACTACAGTGCAGTTTTTTATTGAAAGAACAACATCAACTAGATATACAGATTGAACGAATTTAAAACGGATCATACAATTTAATATATGGACAGGTGAGATGAGGGGGTGTGAACTGAAGTGTAGATATAATTCCTAGAAGTAATAAATGTGTTATTAAGCATATGTATAAAAATAGTAATAAAAAAAACGATATAAAAAAAATTATGAAAAATGAATTTTTGGAGGGTTGGGGGTAGTTTTATAGGGGGTGAAAATATGCCAGTTGAGTTTCTCTCGACGAGCTACCCCAGTTTAAAAAAAAAGAAGGTTGTAGCCCTTCTTTATCCCGAAATATTGCAATTTTTTCAAGCGTGTCCAATTTGAAGTTCTATTTCCGATTTGAAAATGAGTAAAAGTCGATGATGACTCATCGAAGAGAATTTATAGTTTTTTTTCGAGCACTTCTTTTGAAGCGCTCTTAAACCTTTTGGTTTGTTCAAATAAAAACGAAATAAATTGTACATTAAAGATTGGGTCTTTATTTAAATATTGGCCAAATTTCAGCAATAAATGTATATAAACAATTGGTCTGCGATTTTTTGAAAAAAAAAAAAATTATTTCCCGTTCTATTGGTCTTAGGAAGTTCTTTTTTTTTTAAATGGGTGTTTTTTGACCAGCTTTCGAATGGTATGCTTGGCTATTTTGTATATTCAAAAACAACCGAGATATTCTAAATGTTTATAAGGCGAAAAAGTGTACTTCGTTTATTAACAATTTTCAATAAGTAAATTACAATATATTTTTTTTAATTTTAAGTATATGATAGTTGACGACCAAACGAAGAAAATAAGCCCAAAATGGGCATCCTAGTCGCCACCCAGCCAGCTGTACGTCCAATCAAAAATGACCCTTTTTTAAAAAACGGGATAAACAATTAGGATTTTGCAAAAACTGCTCGACCGATTGCGCCCATCTTTTGCACACAGTTTAAGTACTTGAAAACCCATAATTTGATAGAGTTTTGAATTAATTTATACATTATTGAAAAAGTTATAAACAATTGTAAAAAACAATGTTTTCTGGACTAATTTTGCAATAACTTCTTTATTTATTTATGGATTTCAATTTAGCAAGTCTTAAAATCTTCGTCAGTTCTCGAGGAAAAAATCATCTGTGGACCATTTTTCTCCAACACTCGTGGGTTTTTCGCAATATTGAATCGAACGAAAAGATACCACTTTTTTGCAAAAAAGTTTAAAACAAACAATTTTCCAACCAAAAAAACGTTACTCACGAGATAAGACGCTGTTTGCATAGGCTTCCCCAACACTTTCCACCTGTAAAATCGCGTCCAGTAATTTTTACGAATTTCTGATCATTTTATACCTCTATTTCTTGGTCTATTTAGGATCATTATTTTTTCGGTTAGCATCATTTCATTCGCAGAGGACGACATTTTGAATTTAAATAGCCTTTTTAATTTCATGTTATTTTAGTGTGCGCTAACTGCCACGCCAGTGCCATGCCCGTGCTATGTTACTGCCATGTTTGATAGGCGCTCTCGCTTACATTAATTTGTCTTACATGAATATTTGTTAAGTATTCTGGGCACAGTGTATGCCTTCGGTCTTACAGAGATGCCGGTACTCAACGCCTCGCCGTGTGGCCACGTTGACACTCCTCGAGAGGTACAGAAACGTCGGCAGAGTGTTGACTCTTCTACGGCCCTTCACTCCGTATCGCTACCTCTCAAGAAACAATTTGCGGACTTGCGGTCCTGTAAGGACGGTTACTATTTCTGTAAGGTTTCTTACAGCGTTACCGCAGCTCGGCCACCGAGTGAGAAGCAATTTCAAGCCCACTTGGGCTTAAAAGACACAGCGTTCCACTGGTCAGTGGACTAGTGGAACGCTGTGTCTTTTCCCTATTTCAAAGATCGTGTCCATCTGGCCAGGAAACGTTCTCTCCGAGCTACTAGCCGGCTTCTGCGAGGTAATTATAAGTCCGTTAGCAGACTTTTCTTTACCTCGATAAAAGGACAGACAGTCAGTCAACAATCGCCGGTTCCTTTACCTCTCTGATTCGAATGATGTCGTAGTCACACGGCTTCGTATTCAACCAAACACTAAAGAGTTTTGGAATCGTCTTAGTTTCTAGGTCTTCTTAAATAGAAGAAATGTTCACTCAGGTAATAATAAAACGCTGTTTCTGAGCCAATTCTGAGCCAAAAAACGCCAATTCTGAGCAATATAGCACCTCCAGATATTCGACGAACGGCAGCACTTGTCAGAGAATATCAGAAAATCATGGCAAATAATCGTCTGCCAATTCACCAGTATATTCCGCACGCCGCACGAGACCAACAAAGACTGAAGTCCAGACGACCCCCTGTCCAATCCGTTCAGGGAATGGGTGATAGCTACAATAAGCAAGAGCAGTGGACGAAAAGATGGATGCCAACAAACAGAGCCAGATGTCATCAAAATAACAAGTACGTCGATCGGCTTCACTGGATCAAACCTGCCACGCCCTATATGGACAAAATTAAATCGCATACGCACGGGTCATGGCAAATGTGCCGATTCTCTATACCGATGGGGTCATGCAGAAAGCCCACAATGTGATTGTGGATCCCCGAGACAGACCATCCAACACATCATGGCGGATTGCCCAATCCGCAGATACAGCGGAGACCTTCAAGATTTTGCAGAGTGTTCTCCTGGTGCAATTGAATGGCTGTGCAATTTGGACATTAGTATTTAATATTTAACTTAGGTTACAATTCCAATTTGAACATAATTATTATCTAAATACTACTTTTATCGTATTGTAATTATCCATACGCTAAATAAATAAATAATAAAACGCAAAATAATTTCAAAGGCACTCGACCAACAAGGTCTAACAGGGGCTAGTGATGGAGACAACTAGATCCCGATCGGACGATGTGCTGCCTTTTTATAAACTTCGTGTTTGCAAATTCGCAGCAATCTTCCGCCGGAAGGCCAATGACAACGCAGTTAATAACGCTGTTTGTGATTGGCCGGACAAAGTGACAATCTGCGTGATTGGTCACTCTGGCAACATTCTCTCACGCCATACGCCATCCCTGGATAAATCTAATTTCGTAAATAGCGTTAATAAAGCTACTTTTGGAAAATTATCTTGCAGTAAGCCTATATACTTTTTATAAATGTTTTTATTCATCTTTTTAATATAAAAATAAAACAAAATAAAAATTTTACGATTATTTTTTATTACAAAAAAATATTTCGACCAAGCTACGCGATAACCCACTAAAAATACATTCTATATCATTTACCTTGAGGCTAACGCATGAATAAAAAGTAAATATTTTCCTGATATCTCACAAATTCATCTCTTCATCTGATCATAGGCGAGGTCAAGTACTTAAAAAATCGAACAAGTACTATGTATTTTTTTTTGTAAACAAGTCTGACTACGTGCTATCAAGCAATAACCCTACTTGTGTTTACTGGAACAACATGGACAAAAAGAAATTATCAATTTCGATTTAAAAATTAAAAGCAATAGCAACTTATGACTTATTTACATGTATTTTAAACCTACCGATCAAAGCTAATGTTAATAAAACGTCACAATCGAATATAGAAGAAACCCATAGAATTCTTAAATGTAAAGGAAGTCCTAGCAAAATATTTTCTTTTTCATTTCCATTTATTAGCATATATTATATAACCTATGCTCTTATAATTGATATAACTCATCAACTAGCCTATATTTGTCCACTGCTAAACGTAGTCATCTCGTAAGACTTTCCACGGAATTCTATCCTGAGAGTACTGCATCCAATTTGTGGTGATTCGTTTTATATATCATCCGTCTATCTAGTCTTTGGTCGTCTTCCGTTTCGATATGCCTCTTCTCTTGGTTGCTATTTAAGAATCTTTCTGGTCCATCTACCATCCGACAATCTAGCAACATCTCGGGCCCAAGCCCATTTAGCCACGGCTATTTTTTCAACTGCATTAGTGACTCCTGTTCTTCTTTTTTATTTCCAGGTTTAATACTTTATCTCTAATGGTAATACCTAACAATGATATTTCCATAGCGTGTTGTGTAACTCTTATTTTATTTATTGTTGCTTTTGTCAGAGTTAGTGTATGCACCATAAGGACCGGTAAAACACATTGGTTAAAAATCTTTTCTTTTCAACAAACTGGAATATAGTCTATGTGAGACCTATCCCTTGAATTTCAGTTGTCGGATTATCTCGGCTTAAGCAAATTTGCTGCCTTAGATATTTGTAAGATATTACTTGGTCGATGTTATATCTTTCAATCTGAATTTTCTCGCTGACTATATGGTTGGTCATAAATTTTGTCTTTGAGATGTTAATTTTAAGACCACTTGTTTTGATGCTTCACAGATTATTTCCAGAATTTTTGTAGCTTTATCAACTCTATCAGATATTATAACGATGTCATCGGCAAATCTTAGATGGTTTATTCGACATTAACATATATTCGAGTACAACTGTAAACAATAATTTCGGGGAGATAGTATCACTCTGTCTAATTCTACGTTCTATTCGGAACTTTTTGGTATCTTCATCAAGTAGGACACAAGCTATACCAGTTTCGTAGATATTCTTAATCAAGGCAATATATCGGTAGTCGAAGCCACAGTCAGCCAATGCTCAAAGCATTTTATGCTGATCTATAGTATCAAACGCCTACGAACATAAGAAAGATAGGCTTGTTGTATTCTGTGCACTTTTCTATTAGCGTTTTAATAACTTGTAGATGGTCATTTGTTCCGTATCTGGAGCGGAACACATCCTGTGCGCAAGGTTGGTAACTATCTAGTTTGTTCACAAGCCGTTTGGTTATTATATTCTTGAATAGTTTGTATATAATATGGGAAATGTCACGTTTTTGTGCATTATGGTAATTATTGCATTATGCCATTGGGAGAGGGTTACACCTCTTGTTAAACAAATATTGGACATCTTTTTCAACACATTCATTAACGTTTCTCCTCCTTTTTTGATATATTCTATGAATATCCCACCTTCTCCAGGTGATTTATTGTTTTTCATCTCCGAGAGAGCTGTTTTTATTTAATCTTGTTGTGATATCTGGGATATCTTCTGAGCCTACAATTTGAACTTTTGGTATTTGACTTGTAGCAATTTAAATCACCTTGTATGTATTGAAATCACTAGGTGTATGTTAAAAACACCAAAAAAGTGTTTTCAATCCTTTTTGCGTCGCTGAATTTATAATAAACACATTTTAAAGTTTGTTTATATATCACAGATGTGTATTTCCTCGGTATTCTTTTGATCGAGAGCCGCTTTAAGGATATTTTGTACATCAAGTAAATAGGAATTTAACCGTATATGTTTTGTTTATACCGAATTGGGCGAATTTCCAAGATAATTACATCACTTTCTGTGAAGCCGTTGTCAAAGGCAGTTGGTTTCAGCAAATTTTCATCGAATTCGAAATGGCTTTTCCTTATTGTGTTGTGTTTCCTTTTTTTTGTTAACGGAAATAGTGAAATTTGGTAGTACGTACAGGTAAATGTTTAGTTACAGTGAAGGTTTGGAAGCGAGGTCATGGAGAGCAGATGGCAGCGTGTGTAGTTTAAGTAAACCGGCAAATTTGTTAGAAAAAGTGATTTATACTCAATGTAATGTGTCAGTTCTGAAAGAGTAATCACTGTTTTTATTTATATGCCATCTCTCATCTGAGATATTTGTAAAACGGCGTTTACAACAACTTTGAAGAATAACCACATGTATTCCAGTTTTTTAAGAAGCTGAGTTTCAAGTTTGCGTTCAGTGCCAACTTCCAGCCTCAATTTGTTTGTCCTAAGAAGCCGTTTCAGAATATTTCCGCAGTTTGGAGGTGCATTTGTGTTTGCAGTGTAAGTCCAGTTCCTAACCCCAGAAATTTTATAGAAATTTTAGTTAAATCCAGGTAACTTATTTTGTTGAACTTTTAAAGGAAAAATAAACAGTTTCTAATAATAATTGCTTTCATATTAATTATTCTGTTTTAAAATTTAATATTGACATCTGACAGCTTTATTTCTTTGACATTTGGTAAATACCTAATCATAACAGATCTTATTTGCTTTGTTTTTTTTAGACTCTACGCATAGTTTCATTTAAAAAGATATTTTTCATTTCTAATTTTTTCCGTTACAATTTATCCATATTATTCAGTTATAATATACCAAAAATTTTAGTTTACAAAGTGTTGTAATTTCTGTTTTATACGGTTAAATTAAATAAACAAATCTTACCTCATTGTTGCAGGTCTTAATCATCAACAGGGTAGGCTCGTGCTGTTCTACCCTAACGTAGAACGTCGTCAAGGAACAGCCATGTTCTTCAGTGGTGTAGAGCAGTATCGGTTGGTACATGGTAATTCTTACAGGTAACCAGGACCAAAGAGTAAGTAACTATCATTAAAACAAAAGAACAAATGAACACCAACATATAGAAACGAAAACACAATTTGAAACAATATCACAACCCCGACGTGCAAGTGATGGTATATTGCGAGATAACCGTCATCGGTGACGCCAGAGCATATTCAATGTCACAATAATACAAAACCATTAACAATTAATAAATTATTGCTAGGATGCTTAAATGTTTTATAAAAAATATGTTAATGATTATTTCACCCCAGTCGAGAAACCTTCGAGAGTGGTATAATTGCAGCTCAGTAGAGCGTTTTAGAGCAGCTGCCAATAAAAAAAGAATAGCAATTATAATATCCAATCTCTGATAGAGGAAGGAATGGCGAAAAAAAGAGGTGGAAAACAAAGACTTTTATTGGATGTGTAAGTGCTATAATTTTGTTGTATTAGTGCATTTCTCTGTGCCTTTGATTATGGTGACTTAAATAATTAATAAACTTAATAGTTTATATAGAATTTTACTGAAGAAATGAAAGGAAGTTAAAACCCATTCAGAGTATTTATTTTATAGTAGCTTTGGACAAATAAAAAACTAGAAGCAAAGAAAGCTATGTCAGCTTGACAACCTTGTTTAGTTTTCTAGCGTCTTACTAAATCTCTCATCTTGTACTCATCCATCGGTCGACCCAATTCACTCACCAGTTGCAATGATTTGGAACTGCAGATTTTTAAACTATGTCTGGAAAATGTATGACAGGAATATGCCTAGAACCATGAACGAACTAAACGGCTTCCAACGAAGTGAGTTCGCCATCCAGCTGGGCTATCGAGCCAATGCGACCGTGAAGATGACTACTGGTAAATGTGTATATTTAACTAAAGGCCTTCGGCGAGGAAAGTGTTCATAATAACACTTTGTTAAAGTCATCGATAACTTATCTGCAATGCTATAATACAGAAAGATTCACAAAGAAACGATTTTAGAACCAATAGATACAAAGAAATATCTAGACAGATATTTAGAGACAAAGAAATGCATTAAATACAAAGACGAAACAACGAAAAGCATAAACACAATCAATCTGAACTACAAAATTGTTCAAATTACAATGTATCAACGCCAAAAATATTACTTCGAATTTTGCACTCAAGGATGTACCAAAAAATAGAAGAACACCTTAGTGAAACATAGTTTAAGTTCCGCAATAACCTTGGAGTCAGAGAAGCACTATTTAGTATTCAGGTTATGGTACAGAGATGCAGAGATATCGGCCATCTGCATTTTGTCCCTACTAACATTTAACATCTATTCGGAATTCGTTTTCAATAAAGCATTGAATGGTGTTCAATGTGGTATCAAAATTACTAGAAGGCTAATTGTAAGTAAATGAACAGGCATCACGACGGATGGGAACCTAATGGGGAGAAGACAGAGATTATCATTGAAAAATAAGGTGAATGAGACAATGCCAGCAAGAGATTTACAAGATCGAGAGTGGAAGTATCAAGAAATATGGGGACTCAAACGAAGGAACATAGAAATTCTCGTGTCATACTTTACAACTCTTTGTAATGACCATGACGACGACTTTTCATGGCAACAAAGCATTTATTAAAAATACACTTTACAAAAAAACACATGTTTAAAAAAGGCATAACTGATTGAGAAAAAACAAAAGTATGGACAGGAGTATATACATACTGGGAAAAATTCAAAATATAATTAATGTCCTAACGAAAAATTAATTGTATCTCATAAGTTAAATTTCTAATATTTTTCATTATACGAAATTTAATAACGTTAAAAAAAATAACAAAATAAAATATAACAAACAAAAGACACCTTTCACCATAAAGCTAAGCAAGGAAAAATGTTCTGGCGTCACGAAATTTCTTGTCATGCACCAAACAATACATACCGACCACGAAAATACCCATGTATCAGTAACAACTGGTAGTTAATAGTTGAATTGGCAACATGTCAATAATTTTTTTGATAACGTAAACAGCATGTTTAAAAAATATTTGATTTTGCAAAATAACTGTTAAAAATATCTTAATTTGAAAAAATGTGAAAACTGAAAAAAATAATACATCCAGATGTCAATCACGTAAAACACCAGTTCTGAGTGTTGACAGTGTTTAAAAGTATTTGACTATAGAACGATATACAGGTGTCATGGATAAGGTTATATAGGATGTCCCGATTTTTACAGATTTAATCCATAATAATTGTAAAATGCGTAAAAAATAATGTTTTTACTTGTTTATAATGTATATAGTATGCACAGAGATAAGACGATACCAATTAATCTATTACTACCACACAATCTTTTTAACATCGACTATTTTTAATTTCACAGGGCGTATTATACCAAAACTAAAGTTCCTTTACCCAGAACATTTTGAGGATGAAGATTAACCCGGTCTAGAAATGAAAAAATGATCTATTTCACGCCAACATTTATTACAGGTATTTGATAGCTAAGTCATAAGAAACATAATTATTTAAAATACGTATCGAGGTACTGTGTATAGATAGGAAGACACTTCAGAACACTTTGACCTTTGATCCTGCTTAAATTAATATTTGGTGAAGGCGCCGCTGACGTCAAGGGCCCTCTTCCCTAAAACGACAGATATCGTGTCACAGGTACAGATAGGTACACACAGAGCACTGAAAATAGCGTGCTACAGCTACTGACAGGTACATACAGCGACATGTCAGCTATGGCATGCTGTCTATAGCTGTGGTACGCTATCTTTAGGACTCTCTGTGTACCTATCTGTACCTGTCGCACGTTGTTTGTCGTTGTAGGGGAGAGGCTGGTGATGTTAGCGGCACAATATAAATAGTGCAAACAAATAATTTTTTGCAATTATCTCAGCAAATTATTGATCGATTTGTACAAATTCAATAACATAATAGTTTCATAATACAAAAATTGCTCCTAATGTAATGCAGACAAAAAACTACATTTTCGGACATTGACCTTTGTTTATAAAAAATAGGGCCGATCTGATAGTACCTCGATTATTAACTATTAACTATGTCCTACCTATGACTTAAAACGATAAGATACCTGTAATATATTTTTTTAACTAGAACTTTTTTTCTAGACTGGGGTAGATATATTCTGCTAATTATTCATACCTCTTATATAGTTATATATTGTTTCAAATTGTTTAAAGTGTAAAAAGAAAGCATATTTATTAACCTAAGTTTTTCCATTTTAGTAAGTCATATCGAAAATTGAGGCTAAAATGGAAAAAATCGACAAATATATAAGAAATAACGTAAATAATAAGTTTAGGATTAAAATTTGTTTCGTCCTTATTTAAAAAAAAGTAAACAATACAATTTTGTGTGAACTAAATTTAAGGATATATTCATATTTACATGTATTAATGAGACATACATTTTGAAGATCTAAAAATAAAACAAAAATTATATTAATTTTACCAGTACACGTACAAAACGCAATTTATTTTTTTTTTTAAATATAAACAATGTTACAGAAATAACTAATTATTATTATACTTTCTTTGGAACATATTAGGTATTAGTAGTAATAATTTGGTGGCGACTGTATTGAATTGACTCTCCTTATCTTCACATATGGCAAAATATCTGCATACCCATAGACTGCTGCGTTGCCGAATCGGAAAAAATTCATGAATTAAACTTAATATGGATAGTGCCGTGAACAGTATAATAATTTGTACTAGTTCGTAAAGGTAAAAAAAATGTTTACGAACAGGTTAATGCTGATGAAAAGAATGCATGACGATTTTAATAACTGCAAACGCTGATGGCAATTTTGCTCCTGCTATGTTTGTCTATAAGTATAAAAAATCTCCGTAGGGGTTGCCTATAAAGTGCCAAAAGGTTGTTCGATAGGCAAATCTGATAGTGGCTGGATGAATGAAGAGCTATTCTTCGAATAAATAGCAAATATCTTTCATCTTTGGCCAGAAATACATGGCCAGAAATACAGACGGTCATACTAGTCATTTAACACTGCATACTAGTAAATTTTGCAAAAACTATGGAATAATACTCATAACATTACACCCCAATTCAAGTCATATTCTCCAGCCACTTGACATAGGATTTTTTAAGCCTATGAAAATAAGGTGGAAAGATTTTCTCGTATATAAAACTCTTGAAAATTTTGCCAAACAGATCATGAAAACTGCCTTCAGAAAAGTGGTTTAATGCCTTGGGATATGAATGTTATAGACTACTTAAAAGTGAAAGGCAATCATCACGAAAATCAGAATAACTTACAAGATCCTTCGATACAGTCAATAACTAAAACATTAAATATGATGAGGATAGTCTTGCTTTCCTGGAAAAGGAAATGGATGAGGAAAAACTGCTGGTATTGAAAAATTACCATGAAGATTGTAATGGCAAAGACCAATCTCTACTCCTTATGTGGAAAAATATAACCAGTAGACTTCATGTGATTTCGACAGCACAAAGTATAGATGAAAATCACATACTCGAAAATTCTACAGTATCAATGACTGAAGATGCAGTAATGGTTTGTTCCACGTAATAAATTTAGAAATTATGTTAAAATGAAAATTGTTATCAATTAGAACGAAGAGCCAATCGGTAGACATTTGCAGGTAAACATTACAGACGGTTTTAAGCAAAATGACGAATTGTTTTTATATCGAAAAAAACAATGAACTATAATGAAGACATGAACTCCACTTGCTTCGAGAAGTGGACTATTTTCCAGGTTATTAATAGTAACTCTCGTCATAGTGTTGGATAATGTATCTTATGCTAGCCGCCTTGCTAAACGCATTCCAACGATGATTGATCGAAAATTCGTTAAGCAGAGCTGACTACGAGAAAAATGTATTCCATTTACACTGGATATGACCAAAACAGAATTAATGACAATAATCAAGGAGCATCTTAGTAGATATCGTGAATATATGAGCCCTAATCAATGTTCGGACAAACGAAAATGTATTGAAAACGTTCATCTTCACAACCTTTCCTATTAAACCAAAGA